GCCTGCCCCATGCAGGTAAAGTCCTGGGCAACCTGCAGCTGAACTTGCTGAGCAAGTCCAAGGTGTACGAGGACCCGGCTCTGAGCGCCATCTTCCTGCACAACAACTACAACTACATCCTCAAGGCCCTGGAGAAGTGAGTGGCCGCGGCCGGCGCGGCTCTCCTGGCCCTGCCCCGGCCAGGCGCGTCCCTTTGTGTCCGGGCGGGGGATGGCCCCGGGGGCGGGCAGCCCTGGAGCCAACTGCCCGGCTCGCGCCCCGCCCCAGGTCTGAGCTGATCCAGCTGGTGGCCGTGACGCAGAAGACGGCCGAGCGCTCCTACCGGGAGCACATCGAGCAGCAGATCCAGACCTACCAGCGCAGGTGCGCGTCCGCCGGCCCCAGCGCCCGCTGCCTGTGCCGCACCCCAGCTGTTTATAGAATCACGTTGCGGGGTGTTTCCAGGGGAGCCCTGCGCCCAGCCTCCCCACGGGAGGTCCCGGGGCGGGCAGAGCGTGGGAGCTGGCCGAGGCCCGTGGGCGGCGGGAGGGCACTCGACGGGCCGAGCGCCTGTGCCTGGGCGCGCCGTCTCGTCCTCCGTGAGCGTCTTCCCTGTGTGCCCCCACGAGCGCGCCCCTGCCCGGCCGCCCCCACCTGACCTGACGTGGGCTCACGGTGTCCACGCCTGGCGCTCGTGACGCGCGGGGAGTGCGCTGCGCCTCCACTTCGTAAACTAGAAGCGAGACGCCGGAGCGTTTTCTGTCCCCCAGAGAGCATCTCAGTGGTGTTTTGCTTCACTGCGGCCCAGACCGAATCCTCCCCGCCCTGCCCCCGTAGGCTGAGGTATTTTTAAGACACAAGGCGGCCAGGAGGAGGCCGCGGTCTGAGGCCGCTCCTCCCCGCCCTCTGCTTCTGTCCCCCCGGCAGCTGGATAAAGGTGACGGACTATATCACGGAGAAGAACCTGCCCGTATTCCAGCCGGGAGTCAAGGTGGGCGGAGGCCTGGGCGGGCGGGCGGGGAGACTCGTGTCTCCCGGTCTCAGAGCTGAGAGCGCACAGGCCGCCGTGGCCACCGGGGCGGCTGCAGACGGGTGGGCTGGGCAGGTGCCGGGCAGGGACCGGCCTCTTCCCTGACCAGCGCCTTCTCTGCCTGTTCCGTGGCCCAGCTCCGGGACAAGGAGAGGCAGATGATCAAGGAGCGGTTCAAGGTGAGCAGCGCCCCTCCCGCCCCTGCTGCTGTTGGACATGGACCCAGCGTGTCTCCGGGTCACTTCTGTCTCCGCTGTTTGGTGGCCAGGGCTTCAACGATGGCCTTGAAGAACTGTGCAAGATCCAAAAGGCCTGGGCTATTCCTGACACGGAGCAGAGGGACAAGATTCGCCAGGCTCAGAAAAACATCGTCAAGGAGACCTACGGGGCCTTTCTGCACAGGTGAGCCCCAGAGGCGGGGCTGGGTGGGCTCTGGTGTGGGGCCAGACGGGGACGGCAGCCCGTCACCCCGGCGGCAGAGCTGCAGACCGCAGGCCTCGCCCTGACCTCAGCGTCTGGTAGGTACGGCAGCGTGCCCTTCACCAAGAACCCCGAGAAGTACATCAAGTACCGCGTGGAGCAGGTGGGCGACATGATCGACCGCCTCTTCGACACCTCCGCCTGAGGTGCGCGCTCCCGCCGCCCGGCCCGGAGCGCTACTGGTCAGATAAACCAGCGTTGACTTGCCCCTGGGCCCGGTGAGCTTCACGTCCTTTGTGCCAGGCACCTTCTAGTCCTGGCCCCACGGCCCACACTCCGCTCCCCACCTTCACACCTGAGGTTTCGTGGCGCTGACCCCAGCCTGCGGGGGCCACACGATGGCTTCCCGACAGGAGGCGCAAGAAGAGGCCCGTGTTCCAGGCGCTCGGCGTGCAAGGGGCTGGCCCCCTCTGAGGCGCAGCCGTGGGCAGGGCTGGGAGAAGCAGGCCCCGCCACAGCAGAGCACCTGCCTCTTGGTTTAGCATTCATGTCCAGGGGTGCTCTGTCCCCCCGGGGTCCCTCCCGGCCCGGTGACTGGTGAGGAGAGCCTCTGTGTGTGCTCCGGGGCCCAGCACACCACGGGAGCTAGGCGAGCCCTGGCCCCTGAGGCTGGTTCACACCCCCATCCGTCCCCCCTGCCCCTAGCGGGGCCGCGCGGGGTTCTGGGTGACCGGTGGGCACTGGGTGAAGTCCAGGCATCATCGGTGACTGAGGCACCAGGTGGGACCTCACCTACTTGGACAAGAGGGATTGATCGTTTGAACTCGGTGAAGACAGACCCTCAGGTGCACTTGACCCGGTGGTGGGTTTATTTTACTCTGCCTGCACCTAACAGAAGGGGGGGTGCAGGGCCTAGCGGGAGCTGGCCTCCCCGTCATTGGCCCCGTCACGGACCGCCCCAGTGTGTGCCCGGCCTGCCCTGTCACAGCCTGGGCTGCCCACCGTGGGGTGTGGCCTCGCCAGGGGCAGGGGCAGACTTGCACGTCCCCCACACCCAGAGTCCAGCGAACACCAGCTGGCTGCACGCCACCGCCACCACGTACAGCAGGCCGAAGGCGTGGTCGGCAGCCTCCGCCCGCCTGCTGCTCGGCCCCTTTCCTCGTCCGGAGGCTCCTGAGATGGGAGGTGAAGAAGCCCTGTTCCTCGGGGCTCCGGGAGGGTGGCCCCGGGGTTACTGCCGGCGTTTCTCCCTCCCTTGGCTTCATGACAGGGGGATGGGGCCTGCCGCCTTGGCCACCATGGGCTGCAGGATCTCCTGTGGCGAGGCCCCTGGGCACCGGCCCACCCGGGGCCTGGGGCGGGTATCCCGCTGCGGACCCGCTGCGCACGGCGAGGCCAGCAGAGGCCAGCAGAGTGAAGCGGGCAGCTGCTGAACAGCCCTGAACCCTGGCCCCAGCCCACCCCAGGGTGCAGCCTGCGGGCCTGCTCTGCCAAAAGCTGCCGCCAGCCTCATGCTCCCACCCCCGGGAAGGACCTCAGCCCTGCCCACCTTCAGCACAGGTCTTGGCGTGGCCACGGTCCGTCTGCTCCTGCCTGGGGACTGGGCTGGGGCTGCTGTCGACCCCGCCGCCGCCCCGGAGCAGCAGCCCAGCCAGCAGCACGGTCTCCGCGGTGCTGATGAAGAGCAGCAGGAGCAGGACCGTGAAGTAGTGAACTGAGGGGCGGGCGTGTCAGGCGGCCGGTGCACTGGGCGGCCCCCCTCGCCCCCCGCCCAGGTCGGGGTGCTTACTGAAGAGGGGGTTGCAGGAGGAGGAGCTGGGCAGGGCCTGCACCAGGGAGGAGTGGAAGACGAGGTAGCCCAGCAGCAGGGTCACCTTGTAGGCGATGCGCTCGGTGGCCCGGAGGGGCAGCAGCCCCCCGCACACGTCGGCCAGCAGCAGCGCCTCTCCCGGGACCAGCAGCGCGATGATGGCCTTGAGCGCTGTGTTCTGCAGGCGCAGCTGGGGGGAAGCAAGCGGGAACCTCCAGGCCGGCAGCAGAGGGGGTGTCGGACCTCTGGCTCGGCCTCCCGGCCGCCCCGTCCACGCCGCGCACTCACCGTCACCCGGAAGCAGGGCACCAGCCTCTGAGGGGGGGCTCGAGTTTCCAGATGCTGGACGACATACTCCCTCTTGACACTCACGATCTCGTTCACCACCGAGGCCCTGAACTCCAGCTCTGTCACTGAAGGGGTGGGGGCGCTGACTGGAAGAAACCACCTGCGCCACCCTGGCCAGAGGCCAGCTCAGATAGGGGTGGGGGCAGCCTGGGTCGCAAAACTGCCTCCTACGGGCCTGTCAGCACACGCTTCGCAGCACCCCCGGCTTTCCTCAGGGGCAAGGCCTCACAGACTCATCTGTGGACTTATAAAAATAAAAGGCTTTGTGCCACCTCCGGGACAAGCCAGAGCCCCTCTGGGCACGTCCACTCTAACGGGCTGGGAAGGGTGGGGATCCTGGTGTTCACTCGCAGGCGGGGCCTGGGGTTCTCTGTCAAGCTGACCGCCCCCTGAGGGGCTTCAGGATGTCACTGGGGGGGCCACACCTTTGGAGCAGTTCTAGGAGTGAGCTGGTGACTCTGCTCGGGGGTCCGCGGGGCTGCTGGGAACAGTCACTCTGGGTAGCAGAGGGGCAGGGGAGGAGACCACGGGCCAGGGGTGCGACTCAGGCCCAGAGGGGCGCTGGGAGGAGGGGCAGGGCAGGAGCACATTCTGCGGGGGTCTCCAGCTCCCCAGGTCCTGCGTGGACTGAGCAGCGAGGCGGCACCCCTGTCCACCGACTGCTGCCGGGCCTCCCTCAGCCCCACCCCTGCTCCCGACTCATCGGCACCGGAGTTGCTGAAAGCGTAGAAGCTGAGGCTGCAGGTGCTCTGATCCCGGGGGTAGTGGAGGAGCTCAAAGTCACAGTTGGTCTCCGCGGTGAGGGCCAGGCACAGCTCCACGTGGCCATCCTGGTCCACCCGGACACGTGGGTTCTCGTCCTGCCAGTCCACCCAGAGCCTGTGGAGGGAGACGCGCCCCGCCGGAACCCCAGCTCCTTACCCCGTCCTTAAGGAGGGCTGGGGAGCCCTGCCTGTGCCGGATCCCTGCTGCTGCTGTCCAGGGCTCCGGGTTGGGGGACAGTGAGGCCCAGGGCCCCGGGAGGACCGCGGGGCTCTAAACGGAGGAGGCGGGGTAGCGTGGCTGGCCCAAGAGACAAGAACTCACGCCTCCTGGATGGTGAGTCCTGGTGTCCAGACCGCGTCCCAGGGCAGTGTGACCTCACGCCGAGGGTGTGCACTGGCGTTCCAGGCCAGGCGTGTGTCCACCCAGGACTGGGGACACAGAGATGCTGAGGCTCCCGGGCACGGCCGCGCGCTGGCCTTGGCAGGTGCGCAAAGCTGATCCGGCCTCAGCCCGGTTCTGCCCCGTAGGCACTCACCAGCCGGAGCAGCAGCACGGAGGACACTGTGTACCGCAGGATGTCCTGGGGGCGGGGGGTCAGCACATGTGGGGTGCGACGCCCCAGCACTCGCTTGGCCGAGTCCTGTCCCACCCCAGCGGAGCTCTCGGGTGCTTACCACGTTAAACACGTTTGACACAAACACCTGCGTGTCCACAAGCAGGGGGGCGCTGCCATTGTGGGGGATCTGCATGGCTTCCTGGGCCTCCTGGGGTGAGTTGTGGCTGAAGAAAGGTGGCCGGGCTGCAGGACGAGGCTGAGGTCCACAGGGTGTCCCGGAGCCCAACCCCAAAGCTCAGAGCTTACGCCCCCCTACCGGCTGCTGGCGTGCGGAAGCCTCGCCCCTGGACCGAGGGCTGGGGGGCGCCGAGCCCCAGCAGGGCGATGAGGAGCAGGCGCAGGGCCATCCTCAGCGGCTGGGCAGGGGCAGTGGGAACAGCGCCGGGCTCCCGCTGCTGCTGCAGTCGCTTCTCTGGGCAACAGACGGTTGAAGGCAGCTGCGGTGTGCAGAGACCCTGGCGCTTTGGGTTTGGCACCCCCTCACCCCCCGGTTCCGCAAACACCCGAAGACAAAGCCGGGGACCCAGTCTTCCTGCCCTGCACCTGCCCGGGCTTCCCTGTCCTGCTCCATTTCCACCACCTGGAACCGGTTGCCATGTGTGAGGCCCGAGCCTGGCTGGGCAAGCACAGGGCACCCACTTGGCCTTGGCCCTTTCAGCTTGGGCCGGTGCCTTGCTAGCCACCCTTGCCAAAGCCCCTTGTGCTCCACAGGGTGAGGTGGGCACGGCCTGGAGTGTTCCTGCCGCCCCAACACTGAACTGAGTCGCCTAGAGCATGTGTGTACGGGGCGGGTGGGCGGCAGGCAGGGACGGACAAGCTGGCGCACAAAGATCCGGGGGTTTGCCGTCCTCCGGTGGGTTCTTAGCCCGCCCCGGGGCAGAGACGTGGGAGCCCCTGCTGTGGCCTCGGAGCTGAGCCAGTGGGGTGAAGGTCGCTTTCCTGTTGGGGAGCAGAGGCAGTCAGGTCTGAGGCTGATCTGGCCGCCTGCTGCCGTGGGCGGGCTCTGCTGGGGGCGGAGGCCCTGGAGCGCTGAGAGCCGGCTCGGAGCCCGCACACGGGGGCGCGCGCGCAGCCAGGAGCCCGCGCGGGGGTTCAGCGACCCACGGTATCCGGGCAGGCTGCAGGATCTCCTGTGGCGAGGCCCCTGGGCACCGGCCCACCCGGGGCCTGGGGCGGGTATCCCGCTGCGGACCCGCTGCGCACGGCGAGGCCAGCAGAGGCCAGCAGAGTGAAGCGGGCAGCTGCTGAACAGCCCTGAACCCTGGCCCCAGCCCACCCCAGGGTGCAGCCTGCGGGCCTGCTCTGCCAAAAGCTGCCGCCAGCCTCGCTGGGAGGCACCGGGACCTCCCGAGCCGTTCCTGGTCCTGCGCAGCTCGAGGCCGGCGCAAGCGCAGTCACTGCAGGGAAGTGGTTTGCGCGTTTTATTCACAGCGGAACCCCCTCCACAACACCAAGCCCTCTGACTCCGGCCGTTTCGCCCCCTTGACGCCCAAGCGGACCCCCTGAGCGCGCATCAACTGCCAGGAGCCTGTCGGTCGCTCCAGGCGCGCCAGGGCCTGGCTCCAGGCCCGGCGGCGCTGGCGGGCAGCCGCGCCTGGCGCCCTGGCTTCGCTCACGAGGGTCAAGGAGGTGAACTCGCGCTCGCCGCCGGGCCGCGCGCTGCCGCGCACACGCAGCAGCAGGCCGGCGCAGACCTTGCGGAAGCCCTTGCGGAAGTGCTCGGGCACCAGCGCGTGGACCACCGGGCTGACGCAGGAGTTGGGTGGGAGACCAGGTGCGCAGGATGCGCAGCACGTGGGCGGCGCTCGTCAGCGGGAAGCGGCCGGACCAGCCGCAGAGGACCGGCGCGCCGGCACCCGAGCGGGCGGTCACCGGGTCCAGCGCTCGCCAGAGGTAACGCAGGCTGCGCGCGTAGGTCAGGCCGAGCACCAGCACCGGCAGCAGGTAGCTAAAGACAAAGGTACAGAGGTCCATGGCGCGACGGCGGGGCCGCTCCACGCCGGGCGGCACACGGGCAGGTTGGCCAGCCGAGACTGGCGGTAGTAGCTCAGGTAGGGCCCGGAGAAGAACAACGACAGCCCCCAGATGAGCCCGATGGCCGCCAGCGCGCTCCGCGGGGTGCGCAGCTCCCGCGAGTGCAGCGAGCAGCGGATGGCCAGGTACCTGTGAGGAGAGATGTGAGCTACTGGGCTCCACTGCGCAGGGGCGCACCCCTGCACCTCCCGCCCTACGCTCCGCGGAGCAATGTCTCTGGCTCACGGAAGGGTCCAGCACCTGGCCACACATCAGCTGGGAAGGGCGACAGCAGGACCTGGACACTAGATGTGGACGGTCCGGCAGCAGGAGAGGCTCCTTGCTCTCCCCAGGCTAGTTTCGGGGAGACCCCACCAGGAGCACATAGGGAAGGCTGGAGAGCCAGCAGCAGGGCTCTGGGGGGTGGGGGCTGCCAGGGATGTAGCACCTGGGGCTCCGGCTGAGGGGCGGGGGGGAACCCTTAGAGGAGCCGAGGCCCTGTGGGCGCCACCAAGTTGGACGCTCAGAGGGCCGAGAGGGCTACGGGTGTTGTCTCACCCCCGTGTCTGTCCCAGGGGGTCAGGAGGACATGGATCTGGAGGGGAGGGAGACGCGGGTCAGGCCCGGATTTCCTTCCCAGGTAGCATGCAGGGGTCCTTCCAGCTTCACTCAAGCCCCAAGCTCTCTCGAAGGCGCTGTCCTCTAGCTGAGGGCAGAGAGCCCCCTGACCATTCCCATCCCTACCCCTGGCCAGGGCCTGAGGGGCTGGACCAAGCTAGGACCCTCGCACTGCGCTTGCTGGGGCCTTGGCTGGGCCCTGGAAGCACCCCACACTCCACAGTCCCTGCTAGTCAGTTACCACGAGCAAACTGTGGCCTTGAGTAGATCGAGGGGCAGAGTCTGGGGGTCGTGTCCGGAAACAGACTGAGCCTTCGTGCACAGGATTACCAGGTGGGCAGCTCTGAGCCCGGCACTTCCCCAGACTCACCGGGCAGTGAGCTCAAGCCCGAGCAAGCACCAACATCCACTTTGTACAGAACCGCTGGGCTTTGTGTCAGGCATGGGGGCGCCGTGAGCTGCCTCTGCAGCCTGCAGTCCGAGAGCCACCTAACCTGGCCTGACACTAGGACCCCCATTCCTATGCCTCTGTCTCCTCTCCGCACCCCCGTCTCGCTTCCTCCTGCTATGTCCTTGCCGCTCCCTAAGCTTGCCTCCTGGTTCCGGGCCCCGCTTCCTCCAGCCCCCACCTGGGGGTCCCGCCTCAGCCCTCGGCTTCACTCACCTGTCCAGGGAGATGGCGGCCAGCGTGAAGCTGCCGGCGTGCATGGTGAGGAAGATGAGGAAGTGCACGGCCTTGCAGAGCGGCCAGCACCCAGCCGTCCAGGGTGTAGATGGCGGCCTGGAAGGGCACGAAGCACAGGTCGGCCACGCCCAGGCTGAGGATGAACAGGTTGGTGGCCGCGCAGCAACACGGCCAGCACCAGGGCCTTGGCCACGGTGCCCACGAGGAGGATGGGCGCGAGTAGCATGGGCACGATGACCGCCTCGGGCTGCCAGCTAGCTGCCGCTGCCGCC